TTAAATTTTATGCAGAAAAAATTATGATGCCAAATATTTTAGGATAGTCATCACATCATAATGTGGTGGTTTGAAATACTATTGAATAATATTATTAAGAATGACAGAAGTAATATCCAAAGATTTTGGTAAGGGGCAACCTTTTCGAAAAAGAGACATGTCAGATTTATCAAACTAAATAAAAATTGTTTTTATAGGCATAGGAGGAAGGTTACGCCAATTAGAGTCCCTATTTATTGATGGTCCTGTACAGGGAGAAGGAAGAGTTGGCCATACATTTTCCATTGAGACACTTATTGATATTTTACTTGTCTTATATGATGAATGTTGTAATTCTTCCTTTCGGCGTGAAAAGACTGTCTCAGATTTTATTGAATTTGGTATGTTATATATGTAACATATATATCTTATTGAAAATGTTAGCTATTGATAAATGTTTTATCTTATCATAAAATTCATGTGTTTTTGTAGTAAAACCAGTGGCTACTTGTATTAAAAAATTGCAATTGGCACGAGAAGATTTTGAGATAGTAAAAGTTATTGGTAGAGGAGCATTTGGAGAAGTATGTGTTGTAAGAATGCGTGGTTCAGACAAAGTATTTGCAATGAAAATTTTGAACAAATGGGAAATGCTAAAGCGTGCTGAAACTACATACTTTAGAGAGGAGCGAGATGTACTGGTGTACGGTGATCGTAGATGGATCACTAATCTTCATTATGCCTTTCAAGATGACAATAATTTGGTAATTTTTATAAACTATATTAATAAAAATCAATAACATGTAAACGTCAAAATTATTATTATTATTATTATTATTAATTAATATCAATACTCATTTCTCTTAAATAATCATGTGCAGTACTTGGTCATGGATTATTACTGTGGTGGAGATCTATTAACACTATTGAGCAAATTTGAAGATCGCCTTCCTGAAGATATGGCTCGTTTTTACATAGCTGAAATGGTTCTAGCTATTGGGTCCATACATGACTTACGTTATGTACACCGTGATATTAAACCTGATAATGTTTTGTTAGATGCAAATGGTCACATTAGATTAGCAGACTTTGGATCTTGTTTACGATTATCTGAAGATGGCACTGCACAAAGTAATGTTGCTGTTGGTACACCAGACTATATTTCACCAGAAATTTTAAGGGTAAAATTATATTTTTACAATATTTTAAACATTTTCATAATATTTAGAATAAACAGTATTAGTTAGTATTTTGCTAAATCACAAATTTTAAAAAGAATGCACTAAAATTTATATTGTAGGCAATGGAAGATGGACAAGGACAATATGGGCCTGAATGTGATTGGTGGTCTTTAGGAGTATGCATGTATGAAATGTTATATGGAGAAACACCTTTTTATGCAGAATCTCTAGTCGAAACCTATGGAAAAATTATGAATCATAAAGTAATTGAATAACTTATATTACTTGTAATAATAGTACAACAATGATTTAAATTACTATACATATACATTATGCATATGAATGTGTATTCTATATATTTTCAGAATTGCTTTGACTTCCCAGCAGATGATCTGTATGAGGTTTCTGAAGAAGCTAAGGATTTAATGAGAAAATTAATATGTAGCTCAGAATTGAGATTAGGTCAAAATGGAATTGATGACTTTAAGGTATTAACACATATTTTGTTGGTTAAAAAAACATTAGTCATTAAAAAACTACATTTCATAAATTTAATCTTTGATTGTATGACATAGAAACATCCATGGTTTGATGGAGTAAACTGGGATACTCTTAGAGATAGTACTGCACCTTACATTCCTGAAGTTTCCTCACCAACAGACACATCAAATTTTGATGTTGATGATACAGATGTTCGCAGTTCTGATGCTGTTCCACCAGCAGCAAATTCTGCATTTTCTGCACTTCATTTACCATTTGTTGGCTTTACTTTCACTCAAGGAAGGTAAGCAGTATTTTTTACTTCTTTATATTCCTACGAAACATTTTTTTATACATATTTTTACATTTATCGATTACAGTTGCATATCAGATCTGGGTTGTTTATCTGTTATAACTCAAAATGATGAACGCGTGCAGATCCTCGAGGAAGAAAATGCACAATTAATACAAACACTCGAAGACTTAACAAAACAAATCAGTATAAGTCATTCTTCTCCTGGGATATCACCAGATTCTAATAATGCAACAAGAAAACTTCAGGATGAAATAAATACACTTACTAAACGCAACTGCGGTAAGTATACATATATACATATCTGAAGTGTGACTTTCATTATATTTCTTTGTCTTCATTACTATTGCTCCATTGTACTTATTTATACTTTTAGAGTTAGAATCACAGTTGAAGTCTATGGAGGTTCCCCGTGAATTACGCAACTTAGATAACGGTGATATGACCAAACTACGAGAATTGGAGAAATTAGTACGCTCTCTTCGATTAGAAAAGGAAGAAGCTGTTAAAGATAAGTTAGATGCGCAGGAAAAGCTTAAACTTCAGGATAAAGAATTAAAGGATGCGTTAACGCAACGTAAATTAGCGATGACTGAATATAATGAAGTTACAGACAAGTTATCAGAATTAAGGCAACACAAACAAAAGTTGTCTAGACAAGTTAGAGATAAAGAAGAAGAATTGGAGGTTGTAATGCAAAAGGTTGATAGTTTGCGACATGACATTCGGAAAGCCGAAAAATTGCGTAGGGAATTAGAAAATCGATTGGAAGAAGCATTTGCTGAAACGAGTAAAGAAAGAAAATTAAGAGAACGTAGTGAAGAATATTGCAAGCAAATGCAAGAGGAAACAGAAAAAATTAGGCAGAGATCTATAGGAAACGATGCGAGTGCAAACCATGCATTAGCGACGCAAGAAATTAATAGGTTAAAGGCAGAAGTAGAAACACTTGAAGTTCAATACAATGAAAATTTGAACCAACAACAAAGTAGGTACAATCTTGAGATTCGTAGCTTGCAAGAACAATTGCATGAAGCTGAAACAAGGAGAGATTTATTGGAAAGGGAGGTTCAATTAACAAAGGAAAAATTAGATGCTGCAAGATTGGAAAATATTACTGATAGTGAGGAGACTATAAGTGAATTAAATAGACGTCACGAGAGAGAAAAAATCATGCTAGTCGAAGAAAACAAAAAACTTATGTTAGAACTTAGCACTGTTACCGATAGTGTTAATAGAATACAAGGTGAAAGGCGTCAGCTAGAAGAAGAATATGAAGAACTAAGAAATAAAAAGGAAGCTATTGCACAATGGGAAGCTCAGATTACTGAAATTATTCAGTGGGTATCTGATGAGAAAGATGCTAGAGGATACTTGCAGGTTTGTTTTTTTTTAAACTGTACTTTCTTAATAAGATGCTTGTGTCATTTAATTTAAGAACTATATAATTCTATAATTAAAACATTTTAGGCATTAGCTACAAAAATGACAGAAGAATTAGAATTTTTGAAACACTCCGGTGGCGTGGGTGGTGTAGGAAGTGGTTCTACAATGGCGGATAAAAACTGGCGAAATCGTAGATCGCAGAAACTTGACAAAATGGAGCTTTTGAATCTACAAAGTTCATTGCAAAGTGAAATACAAGCTAAACAAGCAATATCTGAAGAACTTACAAAGACGCGTTCAGATTTAATTGCTGCTCAAAAGTAATTGTTCTAAATATGTACAAAACTAAACAAATTCAATTAGCAGAAACATTTTCACTTGTTTAAATATTATTGATGTGGTATATGATATATAATAATGGTAAATCATTATGTATTTACAGAGAATTAAGAGACTTCAGACAACGGCTCGAAACACTCACACATGAGATAAAACGCAAAGAAATGCAAATAAAAGAGTTACAAGCAAGACTTGACACAGGCGATGGCTGTAAGTATATTTCAATTGATAATGTTACAAAAAGAAATTTCGTAAAAATTTTGTTACGTTTTTATAAAAATTTTGTATCAACTATTATTATAGAAACTGTTGCGATACATGCTATGTATGTCATTTGTAAATCTTTCAATCTTTCTCGCACAGTATTTAGGTGATGAATTCGTTTATTTTCTTCTGCAAATATTGTTTTGTATTATTTAAGTTCTTTGTTGTGGCACAATTTATATAGTTTATATATTATTCAACGTTCATAATAAACGGGTGCAGAAAATAATTATTGGGTATGAAATATAATATATGATTTGAACATTGATACAAGAAATTTATAAATTAAAATTTTC